AAGAGGCTGGACTCAGTGATCTTTGGGGTCCCTTTCAGTGCTACTTTTTTCAGATTTTATGAAACAGTTCATGGAAGCAGAATCTCCTGGTAAGACTGACGTTGAGAACAAGATTCCTCTCACGGGAGTGCCGTCCCTCCCACCCTCTGCTGACAAAGAAGTGCAAACACCACCTATATTCCCCCTCCCAGGAAGAGAAGACCACCCGGAACAGACCCAGGTATCATAGGAGAGAAGTTAAAAGGAACAACTCTTAGCGAAAGCGGGAACGTTTTGGCGGGAACGAAACGACAGCCCCGGGTAGAGGTAGAGGCAGGGCTTGTAGATATAAAAAGGGGAAACAGGAACCTGCCTCGTGGTTGGGAATGGATTTGGTTGGAAGATCCATGGACGGGGAAGGTGGAAAAACTGAGTCCCAAAGGAGGAGGCGGATGAGAGAAGGGAGGAATGAGAGTACCCCTAAACCATATTATTGGGGAGACCGAGAGACAAAAGAGTGGAGAAGAAAGTTAAGGGAAGAGAAGGAAAAGGTGGAACGGGAGGAGAGAAAGATTAGAATGGCGGATGATGCAGATACAGCAAAGGGGTCCCTTGGAAGACTTTGGACAGAGGATTCCTCCTCACGAGACCAGGTCTGGACCGACGACCGGGATGAAGATACAGTCCCCTTATTGGAAGGGGGAGGCAGGACAGTTATTGAACTCAGACTTTGCTCTGGACTGGCCGGGTCCCTGGAACACTCAGGAATGTAACCCCTTTAAGGCTGAAGATTTGGAAGCCCCCATCTAACCAGCTGTTAGAGGGAGGAAATGGTTGGAATACCTTGGTTAACACAGGTTATTTGTTAAACAATCCAATAAACGTTACTCCTATTTCCAAACCAAAGAAGTCTGTCAATTTATTTGAAGAAAAATTGGAGCCTGAACACGAACCCTCACATACATATATTCCTGTCCCAGCAATTTCATGGAATCTGGTTTTCCATGACTATCTGTTTTATGTTAGTTCACTCACCAACACAGACATCTGAGCAGCAGACCTGGCTGTTTGTTCTCTGACTGATGGCCAGGAAATTGGCTGAAAACATGATCGCTTCAGTTCTGTGGAAATTCTTCCCTGAGAAGTTTCAGATCATTTCCCTATTTAGAGACAACTCTTTTGTTGTTCTGTTAAACTATTAGCATCCAGCTGCTTGAACATGTTTGTTTGCATGATGCTTGTTCTGCTGCTTAAAATCAAATATTTTTATTTACTATCTAGTGTACTGAATCATGGACACAACAGAACAACAACAAAAACGGGTGATGTGGGTAAGACAGTTAAGGACTTGAGATGAATGGTTTATTTTTCATTTTGAACACCACTCCCTTCAGAGGTGATTTTTTTTCCAGAAGCAGGACTCTTCCTTTACTTGGTATTATCTCATATGAAATCCCCTTCCTTCAAATATCTTATCAGTTTTACAGCTGATTTACACAATGGCTCAAATTATGTTGCTTTTTTAACACAGCCAGAAGGCAAATGGTGTGACACTCACTAACTTCTTTTATAGGATTTGTCTTGCTTTTCACGTTGTTTGGTGGTGTTACAACTGTATTGGGGTTAGTCAATTTCCGGACTGTTAAATTATTGTTATTATTATAATAGCAATATGCTGTCAAGTTAATAGGTTAGTGCAGCAGTTCCCAACCTAGGGTCCCCCAATGTTCTTGGACAGCAACTCCCAGAAGCCTTCACCACTACCTGTGCTGGCCAGGATTTTGGGAGTTGCAGTCTGATAACATTTGGGGACCCAAGATTGGGAACCATTGGATTAGTTTATGTGAGAACATGCTCAGAGTAATGGCACAGTTCAACAACCAACCATTAACATGGCATTCTGTGCTTTATTTCAGTGACTTGATAGCAAGCACCAGTTTAGTAACGAAATTCCTCTCTTAAACTGCCAGCAATTGTTCCTCCTGTAAGACACGATCTAAATGTTACATTTGAGTTATTCTTCAGGATAAAACATATCCACTTCAAAACAAAATATATCCACTTATGCCTGCACTTCACAAATGTTTCTAATCTCTAAACCTGAAAAGAATCCAGATCTGTGGGTGGCTAGCAGACAAATTAAGCTAACAACTAGCTAGATAAGAATCTGTGCGCGTGGACACATGCACAAACATACACACACTCAAAAAAACAAAAAGGCTGAGCAGATTTGGTTGGTTCCCCCACTTTTATGTGGGTTGTTTCATTATACAAAAAGGAATTTTTGCTTTTTAATTTTACGTTTGTCTGTATCAATTCCAAAATAGATCTGGTGTTTAGATACGACTTCAGCGTTGTTATCTGTGGCACTGTGAGGTTTAATACATCTAACACTGGCAGCTGTTTAATTAGAGTTTTAATAGTAGCCGACAATTTGAAACTGAGGGCAGATTTCAAATTGGTAGTGGTGGTCCTCCTAGTTATACATCTGTTTGTGAAGATAATTTATATTTGTGGATATTGCTGCAACAGGAAGGAAAAGTAAGTATTACAAATTTACTTCTTTTCCTATAATGAAAACTTTTTACTTGTAGATTCTTCTGCTTCCTGCAACAAACTTGCAGTAAAGCTTTCAGTTATAGGTAAATTTGTTTAGAAGTAGTAGCAGATTGTAATATTCATGTTAGGGACTTCCTGTCATTCACAATTTATATAATACATTTATATGGATTCTTATTGAACTGGTGCATCATGTAATCACCAGAAGATGTAGAATTACATAAGGACAAATGTTTGAGGCTGTTGGAGTCCTATAATTTGAAGAAACAAAGTTATGGCATGCATGCTACTGTTACCGGATCACTTAAAAATTACAAAAAAACCCTCACATAACTCTGTGCGGGGTAAATTTGATTTGAGTCACAATTTATATTTTAAAAATGGGATTTTTTGACAATTTATATAAAAATTGATTTTTTTTAAAATTGTGATTTAAATCAATTCAATTTTCTAAAAAAAACATTGATTCTGATCCACTCTGATTCTGTGTAATTTGTAATGCATGAAAGTATTTCCGCCCCCTAACTTTGAGACATGGGTGTGGTGACTCCCAGGTCATGAATATTAATAAGCTATTTGCATGTACCAATGAGAGTGCTGGAGAGGCGGAGTCACGATATATAAGCATCTCTGCAGGAAGGGGAGACAGGATTGAGGACTGGAATTGGGAGTCTGTAGGAGAGAGAGGGTTGGCCATTTGTTTATTTGTTTCTTTCTTTATTATTAGATTTATACCCACCACCACCATCTGGCAACCAGGCCACTCTAGACGGCTAACAATAATATAAACAGCAATATTAAAACACAATAAAAAATAAAATAATAGAATGGATGAAGTTGGATATTTGGTTAACAGTTAAAAACATTGATTGTACCTTCATCACCTGTAATAATAAACAACTTTTATTTGGTTCTATTTAAAATGACACATTGCCTGGACCTTTATTATTAATAATACATACTGTTGATGCAATCAACAGTATGGCAGCTGAAAGACATGTTGCTTGTGCCTTTGTTTGGTGAAACAACCAAGGGACAATGGGCAATTTGATAATACATACTTTTTTGATACTGTAGTCAAAGTATTATAATAAGAGTTATCTTTCTTTTAATCCTAGAATCTGCTAATGGAGAAAGGCCACCATCATCTGTCCAATCCTAGGGCCACCCAGTATCTTTGAAGTCAGAGTAATCTTTTTATATCCATCCTAAAAAAGCACAAAAGCACCCCCCAAAAAACATTTAAGAACAACAACCTAAGTATGAATATTAACTTTACTAAAGAAAAAAGTATCAGCAAACCTCAGATTTACTTGAAACCCACATAAATCTATTTTCCTTTTGAGAATATTTAATCCCAGAAACAGTTTACTTATCCATATAGGTGTAATATTTTAAGTGACATACATAACTGACTCTTCAGGTGAAATGAAAAAAAAATCGCCCCTTGAAAAGGTATTGCTTGGGTTTTCACTAGCCAAAATGAAGATTTCTTCATTAGGTTCTATCTATGATAGCTTGTTGTTTGCATGAAAGTAAACCCTGATGGAAGACCTGTGATAATTTCTATAAACATTTTTTTTCCTGTACAGGAAGGGGGCTGAGTACAGAACTTGTGGAAATCTGGAAATAGCTGTTAACACTAGCAGTTAAGCTAAACTGTGAACAAGCTGAGGGAAGAGAGAGAGAGCAAGACAGAAAAGACTAGGACAAAGGGTAAGGAAACAAAAACAGGTTTATGTGAGACGGAAATGCTTGTTGGGTGCATAAGTGTTTTTCGTCGGATCACATCAGGTCAAGCAAAGTCCACTAACGTGTTTAATGTTCATGGTGGTTTTAAGTGACATCTTGAACTTCAGTAACCTTCTAGATTATCTTTATTTGTTGTTCTGCAGTACAGAGTGGCACTTTCCCCTCTCTTTAATAAGTACTTAATTGTGAGCTGTTCATATATATTACCTGGCTACATACCTGTGCTGTCTTACTTTATCTATAAACATCCAGCTCTGTTTATTTACTGTATAATATTAATTGCATAACTATCTTTCAAAGAAGATTTTTATTGATGATGTAGTTTGAATGAATATTGGACTGATTTGCATGGGGACTGAGAGTGTAACTTCTATTTTCATACACTTGGAAAAAGTATGTGTAAGTTTTTCTTGATTCCTTGCCAAGCTGATAAAGGCAACTTAGGCTAGTACTAGTGCCTAACAAGGATAGACAGTTGAGCTGGAGCCCACAGGAGAACATATCAGGCCAGTACCTAGGCATAATATAGTCCTGAGATCATCCTTCCTGTTGCTCAAATGGAACTGAGAATCACATATGGAGAGCAAATCCTTCGTGGCAGGTCTCTTGTCTGCAGAAGAAGCTAACTGTAGATGCCCAAGAAAACATGGAAGAAACCTTGAAGAACAGAGTGACAAACACAAGACTGACCTGCATGGGAACCACCAAAGTTGCCAATAATTCCTTTTAATCAGGTACATCTTCAGGTCCACCTAAATGGTGACCGTATTGAAAAAGTTCTTACATTCATCAGTGGGTCCAGACAAAGTTCACGGAGTTTTCAAGCTCGGCACATCATTGTTAGCCAACAATGCTCTTGTTTTGGTTCTTGTAAAGCAATTAAAACCATCCAGAGCCTTTAGAATATAGTGTATATAAGTTCAAGACTAAGTCAAGAAAGGGATGCTTTGCTGTGTTTCCTCCTTCAATAAGCCAATGCAGAGAGTTTCTGGGAACACACACACTCTGAGCCCAATTGATCTTGAGAATCAATTTGGGCAGACTTCACATGTGTGTCCAGTTCAATGTACAACGTTCCACATTTCGGTTCCCATCAATCTGTATGTTAGAAAAAGGCAGATGTAAGCCTCAAGTCCAGCATGGCTATGATTCCAAACACAAATTCTATTCTTTTACGCATGCAAGAACCAAGATCAAACTCAAAGTTAAGGACAACTAGGTAAAATAAATGGTTCTTTGTCATGAAAACCCAGCATAGGCCAACTGTCTACTTCCAATGAAGTTCGTGTGCTGGGTGTGATGGGTGTGATGATGATGGGCACCTCCTGAAATTCAGAGCCATTTGACCTCTGTACATGGCTACTATGGTGAATACACTTGGTAGATTTCTCCTCCATCAAAGAATAACCAGGAATGGTTGTCAAGACAACTTGGATTTGCAGTAAGTAATCCTTTCTAGTTGGCCTTTATGAAAATTAGAAATCAATTTATGATTAGAGATGCGGGTATTCGTATTCGAATATCCCCTCATAGGTGCAGACAATGAGGGTCCGCAGAGCCTTTGTATCTCTCCATTGTTCATGATTTATTAGCCACTCTGTGACCTGGCAGAGAGGCTCATCATCCCACCTTCTGCCAGGATTGGCTAATTTATCATGAGCAACGGTGTGATAGGAAGGCTCTGTGGAGCCGGTGGCGGCAGCAGAATCGTGAGTGGTCGGTCTAACCCCAGGGGGGTGGACCCTCGTTATCTGCACCCGCGGGGGGATATTCATATACGAATACCCCATCTCTACTTATGACACGCATTCTTTACTCACTGATTATGTTATTAGGATACTTATAGGGGTTGATGCACTGGATATTAGTAAGAACTGTTGCGATCAAAGGTTAATTGAATTAAGGATAACTTCGCTTTGAAATATATCTTTTCTCTGCTGTAACTGTCTTAGTAGAAATTCTAAAATGGAATGCCATGCTGTGTCTATGCTGCACGTTACTGTCATAGTTACTTGGTGCACACATTACCAGCAATATGCTGGAACCACTTCCTGCGGCCCTTTAGGAAAGTGTGTTGGCAAAACCCGTGCTAGTAACTGTGAGCTGCTTCCTAGTGAAGGTTTCCTCCGGAGTACATCCTAGATCACTTCCTGCTCATAATATAAGCTGTAGCAGAATTTAATGTATATGTAAATCTGCCAAGCACAGATATCACAAACAGGTTGAAATAGTCTATTTGCATTCAGTGCTATACTTCTTTGTGTAAATTCCACAAAAGAAAACCAAGAAACCTCATGGAAGGATAGTCCTCAATCTAGATTTAGTTTCAGTGTAATGTTCTAGCACACGCGCACACATACACACACAACTGCAACACAAACAAACAACAAAACAAAAACAAAACATCAGCATTGTAAATATTCCACATTCACAACAGAAACAACCTCACTATACCTTTATTTCCCAAGCTGTGACATCCAGGCCCCTCAAAATAATCAGAACCATCTCTGGGCTGCACGTTTCCAAAAATGCTTAGTAAGGGCTTTGTTTGATTAAAGGGTGTTTGGTGTGTCCTTACACAGGGGGCAAAAGCAGGCGTCTTCCAGAGGTCACTTGGAACAAGGGCTGATCACTGTCGGTGTAGGGGGGTAAACTAAAGCCACATTCACGCGCTCGTTACCATTCTTCGGACAGATGATCTCAGTTAATCCCTCTGGCCTGGGCTGACTCAGTAACTCTCCTAGGAGAAACAAGAGAGATAGGCAGTGTTCAGTTTCAGATCTTGATTTGCAAGTAAGATACATTCAAAGTTGGATACAGGGAAACGGCAGTGAAAATGGCCTTAACTATTTGAAGAGCCGTCATGTAACACACAAACATTGCTCAACAGGAATTCCACTTTGGAAGAAATACAGCTGAAAGATGACAAACGATTCTTGACAAATGTGAATGTCTGTCATTTGCTTTCCCCCTTCTGATCACTTGTCCCCTCCAGACAAATAGGGAGACTTGAGACATGTATATTAATATATGTGCTTTCAGAGTGCTTCTATCAAAATTCCTAGTCATATCAAAATAATGTTCCTGATATATGAATTAAATTAATGGAGAAAATGGTATGTCAACATGAATGCTTAAATTTATTACTTCAAATGTATGCCAGCACTATTAGGACAAATTATAATTCCATAATATTGTGCAAGATTTAGATTTCACCATTATTCTTCATCAGGCTAGGTGGCAAGATAAAATAAGACAAAATAGTTGGGGAATTATACTTAATAGCCTAAAGACATTACTGCTCCCACACCCATGTATTCTGTACTTCTTTTACATTTTGTTTTGTGACTACAACTAACTCAGATGGCTCACAAGAGAGAGCAAGTTTCCAAGTTCCTCAGAATACTGAGGGTTTCGCCGTGAAATGGAAAAGCACTACTTGAAACATTAAATGAGAAAGTGAACCATGTTAGGGTCCAAACTGGGTCGTCTCTCAGCAAATAAAAAAGTATTTCAGTCATGTAAAGAAAAAGTGAGGTTTAGGGATTATTAGATTAGGACACGGAAGGTTTTTGAGTCTTTGCTGAGCCATGAAATTTAAGGATAAATGAAGACAAGGGAAAGGTTAAGTCAAAGAGCCATGGCAGTGGGGCAACAGCAGTCTGTGGGCAATCTTGGCTACCTGCTACCATTAGTGAAGTTAAATTGTCAGTAAGTTTAATAAGTAAGGGCACAGCTACACGTCGTAATGCTCCTGTTTTTGTGTTGAGTTCACTACGCTTTAAATCGATTTTAAAATATCCAACTACATAGCGCATAGCTAAGCATGCAATTTTGAGGGGGGAAAGTAGGTTTTAAAAACCACCATAAGGGGGGTTGTGTATTTTAAATCAATTCTGGACATGGCTTGATTTTTTAAACTTCTTTTGGCATGTGTGAACTCTTGTGTCTGAGTAAATAGTGTCTGTGGGGATCTGGTGGGGTTTGCCAAAAACAGGTGTCAAGTATAAGGAAGTGATTTTGGACTGCGGAATACCCTGCAGTCCAAACGCTTCTTTCCCACCCCCGCCTGTTTCTATTTGAACGCTGCATCGATCTATCGCTATGCCAGTTCAAAACTTATATGAATATTTAAAAATGTGAGGAGATGGGGATAGGCTGTTGCTGCTGACACTATTACCCCCTGCAGCTGCACTGAAACTTAGGATTCTTGTCCCCACAATTTCCGGGAGAGATGAGACTACCTCCTCTGCCATGGAGCGAGGGTGGCTTCAAATCCTGCTGGGGAACCTGCACTGCTCAGCTTCCCTCTCTGGATTGATGCCACGTCTTTGAAATTCCCCTGAACCTACACCCTCCCCTCCCCCTGGCTCTGCAGAGTTCCTGAACTGGGAGGAAGCCAGCTTCCGTGAGGATGCACACACTGACACAACATGTGACCTTATATTGATTTCTTTTAAAAAGCAGAATTAAAGCTCCCAATTTAATTCAACAGTATAGTCGCACCCTAAATTCAGTAAATTAATTCAGAACAGACAAAAATAGTTATTTTACATATTGTATAGTTAACACAGAACTGTTGAATGATGATTGGCCAGTATCTGAGACAGATTAAAGCAGAACAAGGCAAATTATCTGAGAGTTGTCTGCTAAAGGCTATTAGCCATCATAGCTAAGTAACACTTTCAGGCTTAGTGTACATCTAAATACCAGGAGCAAACAACAGGACAGGAACCACGCCTGTTGACTTCCCAGAAGCTAGTTTGATCCAAAACGCCTGGTAGTGTTTAATATTAATCTCTCTTGAGTAACATCTGCAAGTCTCAACTTTCATTTGCAGCCCTGAAAGCTCCTCTTTCTTTTTAGAAGAGGAGAGCTAACAAGCACCAGACCTCTACAACAGAAACTTGTCTGCATGCAACTCTTTCCTGAACTAAGCAATAATCCCTTAGTCTTTACTTCCAACCTATTCCCCGGCACGGCTTCTGGCAGCACCAACTGTTTCACACTTTTCCAACTAAGAGGATGTCAGATTCTCCCAAGTGAAAAATGCTTCAGCCCAAATATGATTGCACTGTAAAGGTAATTATTACAAATTTAATAGGAGGAAGGAAACAAAATCCCATATTTTAGTAAAATGGGAAGTGGGCATGTTCTAGTACCATCATTAAATATTGAAGCTTTGTGATTCCCTTATACAGCTGTGCCCCGTTTTACAACTATCCCGTTTAATGACGAATCCGCTTGACGGTGAGGTTTTTGTGATCGCAGAACGATGATTCCAATGGGCAAAAACCGCTTTGCGATGATCGGTTCCCTGCTTCAGGAACCGATTTTTGCTTTACAACGATCAAAAACAGTTGATTGTCGGGTTTCAAAATGGCCACCAGCTGTATAAGATAATGGCCACCAGCTGTATAAGAAAATGCCCCCTCCCCGCTGTGCTTAGGGACGGATTCCTCACTGCACAGGAATGGAAAATGGCCGCCCCTATGGAGGATCTTCGCTGGACTGTGAGTTTTCAGCCCATTGGAACACATTGAAAGGTTTTCAATGCATTTCAATGGGCTTTTAAAATTTTGCTTTATGACTTTTTCGCTCTACAGCGATTTCGCTGGAATGAATTAACGTCGTTAAGCGAGGCACCACTGTACTAAGACGACTGCTTTCTCTTGCTTTGCATAAGAAGTTAGCAAATTGCTTATCAATTTCCTCACATCATACTCAAGGGATCTCTCACTATCCTAGGATATATGTATGTCCACATCTGAAGGCTACATTTGATTTTAGCAGTTCGGACAAGTTGTTGTGCATCCTTCTGCTCCACAACAGTGCTGATTAAACCCTGTTTGATTAACCTCCAGAAGATGAATATTTAAACCCACTGAACACATGATCGTTTGAGCTGACTCACACTAGTGACCCATCCAGTCTTGGAGAATGGAGAGGCTTAAGAAGAAAAGATAAACAAATGAATAGTGCTTGTCCATGTTTCTGTAGAATACAGCTGGGAGTGATGGGCCTCAAAATCACTCATCTGCCATGAAATTAAAGGAGGGTCTAGGACACATTCAACACTCTCCTACACCTGCTGGCTGCAGAGAAAAGGACATTTCTGGATGAGGTGGCATCAAGGGGGAAAGTACTTTCTAAGGGAATTTTGTTCATTCATCCTTTCTACCCTAGAATTCCCAATGTAAAAGTCAACATTCAAGAAGTACATATAGAAGCATTTTGCACTATATAGTGAGATTAGACCATATTATACAAGCTTGGTTTGGAGATGGAAATTTTTCATCTTAATAAAAATCAGTGGCTAATAATAAGTCATAATAGCATTAGTAAAAGACAGGAACTCTCACGTTGATCCATGTGTTTTAAGGAGAGAAAATTGCTTTATCAAATTTTCTGTGCTAAATAGGTCAGAGAAACAACCTCCACAATTCCTCGCTGAAAGCCACAACTTCTTGGCTCAGTTGAACCACAATTAAAAAAAACACACTGATCAGAAAGGATGGAAAAATGTGCAACATCCCTTTATTTTCCCTCTATTTTCTGTGTTATTTTAAAAATAATCACAATTATACGCTGTCAAGCCAATTCTGACTTATGGTGATTCTTCTCAGCATTTTCCATTTGAAGAGCATACTCAGAAGTAGTTTACTACTTCCCTTCTTCTGGGGGCATCCTGGGACTCTGCAGCTTGCTCAAGACCGCACAGGGTGGCTCTTTCTCCTGGGAGGCATGCTGGGAAATCTAACTCTCAACCTCTGGCTCCACAGTTGTAGACCTAAAGCACTGAGCTATTAAGCATGTGGCCATCCTAGTGTGTCTATAGGAAGGACTTGAGTGCAGACCTTGCAAAAGTTATTTCTTTTGGATGACAGCTCCTGGACCACCCCCACCCCCATTGAGAATTCTGGGAACTGTCTTACTGAGCTATCCAACCAGCTCATTTTTTTATTAGAACCATTGTTGCTTTAGAGTTATTCCAAAGAGACATCTTAGGGAGGATGACTGAGGAGGTGGGCGTAGTGAAGCCACCGCTTGAAGGGAGAATGAAAATGGCAATAGTTCCCTTTCTGAGGGAAAACTCACTCTTCCTCAGTAAAATCCAATTTTATCCCCATCACCTCCAACTCCCAGAGCCCATTTAAGGGATTGTTGGGAGGGGGAGTGAATTTTGAAGCTGGCTGCCCAGATGCAAGTACAACCATCAGATTAAATATTAGGTTAGAATTATATACTGAAAATCTGTTTTTAATGTGTTTTCTTTATGCCATTAAAATGCCTTTTCGTGTAAATGTTGCAAGGGTTACTTAGCTATTGTAAAAGGAGGTCAAGACTTGAAAAAAGTTGGGAAACACTGCTTTAGTAATTCTGCATCTTCTCTCATGGTCATAATAAACTGGCTTTGCAAACAAGCCGAGAAAGATAAATTCATTATAACCTCTGTGCTGCCCATGCCTAAGACTTGTTTTCATACTATCTTTTGAGAATCTTCCAAAGATGAAGACCAACTTTATATGTTTACTACGTTTCTCAAGGTTTACAAGAGTCACAGGACTGCATGCTTACTGTGTCAGAGCTAATGCAAGAGACATCTCTTTGAAAATTTCTCCAGGGATAACTGTGCTTAGCGGGAGGGGCCACATAAGCCACTCCAAGTTAATCCTCCATTTGCACTCAGAAACTAGTTTTGCTCCAAATGTGAACTTATAAATGCATTCTGGAAACTAA